GTGTGTTTGTGTGTGTGTGTGTGTGTGTTCGTGGGGGGGAGGCGACCACCCCACTGCCAATCAATCAATCAATCAATCAATCAATCAATCAACCAATCAATCAACCAATCAATCGATCAATCAATCAACGAATTAATCAATCAATCATTATTATAATATATTGTTTTTTTTTCACCCGGAACCAGAATTTTTTATTTTATTTTTTTACTGATTTTTTTAATGGGGGGTACCCCTTGACACCCGACCCCCCCCCAGCACATCCACCCCCTCAGCAACCCTCCGGAAGGCCGTGTACGGACGGCCCGAAGTCCGTACGTACGGGCCGTACGAGCATGGGGGGGGCCGTACGTACGGATGTCCGCACGTACGGAGGGGCCGTCCTTGTACGGCGGTATACGAAGGGAGGGGGAACGTATGTCGGATCTCGGTTTCAAACCGTTACGAGGGATCGATGGCGGTATTCGCAGAGCTCGGAATCCGAGTCGGAGGGTTGCAGTCTCACTTCTTTCTCTTTGAATTCCTCCTTCAAGTTGCCATGTGTCTTGTGGTTGGACCCTTGGGCTTGAAAGCATTCCGTGCAGCTGCCGCACAGGGTGAGAGGCCAGTGGGGAGCAACTGTCGGCCACAGGATGACAATCAACTCGTTGAATGAGAGCAAAACGGAGTAGGGAGGGAAAGGAGTATCCACAATCACAAAGCCCGCATTTATGAATCCATAGCAGCATGTTTTGGAAGGGAGTGATAAGGGCCGCTGATCTTAGCGACAACTTTTCATACGTCCCACTCGAAGATACGTGTCATATCCTTGTTGTACGGAAAAGGTCGCGGACAGGGAGGTTCGAGAAGTTGGTGCGCCGATGGCTCCGCTGGCTCGGTCCACAATGCCAATACACACACATCCACCGTTCACAAAATAAGGCGATCATATCTCATTAAATTTGGGAATGACATTCACGTTGGAAATCAGGCGATGCGATGTGACTTTTCCGACCGATATTCCGCCGTAGAGGGGGATTACCCAAGAAACTAATGGATGAGTTCAAGAAAAAGTTTCTTGAACAAGCAAACACGGGATCTTCAAAAGAAAAGGAGCAAGGGCAGAAAACCACGGGTCCTTCAAAAGGAAACGAGCGAGGACAAACATAAGTCCCTAGTGACGTCAACAAAAATACTCAGGTCGTTGCATGGGATAGGCATTCCCGTTGAAGTGACTAGAAGAGCGAAAATTTTCACAAACTAAGCAACTTTAAGGGATGCCCATTCCAGAACCCTTCGATCAAACGGAAGGAGTCATTCATTCAAAATGAAGATAAGGCAGGGGGAAGGGAAAGATCATTACTCTAGAGTGTTGCGCATTCACAATCGACAGAGGTGCGACGAATCTCCTCATTACACTCTTCTCGCAGGTGGAAGACCATTGATATTGAGAGACGAACCGACTGAGTCGATTGAGAGGGCGGAGAATATTTCCAATAAAACTTCAACTGGGTAAAAATTAAAAAAGCCTCATACATTTATTGGCGCTACATCATTTCGATCCTTGAGAGAAAAAGAGAAGGAAGACATGCATTTCGTCAAGCAACCGTTGTCGACTCTTGCATTTCAACGATCCCTGCATGATGAGACTTGGCAACGGGAGAGCGAGGTAGGGGGCGCAACTTAAAAACACTCTCATATACTAGCTACATTGCAAACCAACAAATACGAGCATTCATTCGCTCATATATCTATAGAGAAGGAGAAAGAAGAGAATAATATACAGTTTCACAATTCTAGAAGGAGAAACTGGCATCTCACCGTCTAACTTAACTCCAAAAATAGCAAGGGGAAGAACAAGAAGACGAGGCGCAACTGTTATACCTTTCCCTCGCCAGCTATGGCCCCATGTCATCCAATTAATCATCAAAATACCTTTCCTTGCTCGACCAGTAGCGATCTCCGATTCTCAGGCGCCATGTACCCAGCACTAAGACCCAACAATCGTCACCCCATCCACTCGACTATTACACAGATTCGCTTGGATCCTGCAGTCCGTTGCAGCGATCCAACACGCAATCCCACAAAAGTTGCAGCCAACTCGTCGAGACCTGTTGACTTTTTTATCACAACTTCATCTAGCCACTGTTCCACCAGAGTTACTCGATATATGTGGAGAGTCTCAGAGCAAAAACGACGCCTTTGCGTCGCTTGCGATATTTTTAGTTGCAAAAACTAAGGGGGGGAATACGGAGGAGAGATAGCGGAGGGAGGAGATGAGAGAGAGGAAGACATGCAAGATGGCCACGTCAATCCGGATAGAGTACTTCTTAGCCAATCGGATTGCAGTGTGAGGATTTCAAAGCCTCCATACACGGTGTCGTTCGACTTCTACGATTACTTGGGCGATCGGTAAACCTTCCTACGTGTAGTCGAAGGCGGGACAAGAGGTTACAAAACACAGGGCGGAACAATAGGAAGATTAAATGGAAGGAAAAAGAAAGAAACAGCAGGGAGAAACTGAGAAGAAGACAGTTACAGCCTATGAATGCCCCCAACCGTCGGGCGCGGCGGTCGTGACCGCGGCGGTCACAACTTTCACAGCCACATGGCAGCTGGAAGGGGGGGGGTCCAAGGGTGGGAGTTGCGGATTGGGGTTCCAGAACCCCAGCGCTACTCCATAGCAAACAGAAAAATGAGAGAAGGTTAACAGACACTTGAAATTTCAGACACCTTGTCGTACCATCTCTGTTTTCATAATTTTCAAGATTTTCAAGGTTGGCCAAAACAACCATCTCCAGGAACTCAATAAACACTAAACTTGGCACACGCAAACGTTGACAAAAAATAAAACAAGTCAAATAAATAAATCTGGGTAGCACCGCGTACACGTACGTGGGCTCTGGATACGTGCATACGTGTATGCACGTACCCTCGTACGTGTCGAGTACGTGTATGCGAGTACCTAAATTTGGGGCCCGCGTAAGTGGTTGCAGGGGCCATTTCTTGGGCTTGATTTCACCCGTAGGGGTTGGAGGGTGGGCGGGGGGATGGGTCGGGGCCAGAGCAGGGTTGGGGGGTAGTGTCGGGGGGAAGGTAGACCTTCGAAATCGTGGCGGGAAGG